TAATAAGTCGTTCATTTTTCATATGTCAAAATAGAGCCCGACTTCGATGCAACTTTATTTGATCGAGGCCTTGAAAACTCGGTGTGACTGGCAGTTTTCTCAAGTTGCTTAAGTGATTTTAGACGATGCTTTTGCCGAGGGTAACCTTTTGGCAAGTTTTGAATTTTTATTACGGCCTTATGTTCTGATTACGAGATTCGGACGTCTCCTAGTCATTTTTTGGGGTGGCCTTAGCCTTTCGTGTTTAGACACTACCTAATATGCTTTGTGCCTCCGAGATTTTGTAGCCCGAGTTGCCTGAGCTTATTTTGAACCACATAGGGGTAGCCCTTGGACTCGATAGTACCAGAATAAGGATAGCCCTTAGGCTCGATAGTCCCCGAATAAGGGTAGCCCTTAGGCTCGATAGTCCCCAAATAGGGGTAGCCCTTAGGCTCTATGTTTGAAGAGGAAAAAATACGTAATAGCAAGGTGGAAACTTTCTTTTATTTTTGTGTGTAAAGTACATGATTGAAAGCGTGTAAAAGCTTGTATTATGGATAAGGTGGCCTACGCGGGCATGGTTCATTGACCGTTTGGCCCTTACAATTAATTCTAACCGTCGAGCCTAAGCTGTTCAAGTACAAAGTTTCCTTCTTTCCTTGCTAAGAACCTTAACCCGAGGGTGATGGCCCCCAGTATTCGAGGTCGATCTTAGGAGGGCTCGGATACTGTTGATGCGCCCATTGACTACGATTTAAAACCGGTTTTCAAATCTAAGGTAGCACGATTTACTGTTGTCTTGTTAAAAACCTTGCTGAAAAACCCATTTGGGACAAAATTGGTTCAAGAGAATAAAAGTGTAACGCATGCTTTCGGACCTAATAGTCATATTCTCCTTTGGCTTTTGCCTGCAAGTGTTAGCCCGATTCATAATATTATAAGAAAGTAAATGATATCGTACCTTAGCGGTAGTAACGCTTTAAGTGTTCACGTTCCAATTGTTTGGTAGCAGTGCACCGTTTCCCCCTTTGAGTTTGTACGAGCCCTTGCCGGTAATTTTGATGACTCTTTATGGTCCTTCCCAATTTGGTCCCAACTTTCCCTCGTTCGGGTTTCGGGTATGAAGTGTTACTTTTCTCAACACCAAGTCTCCGATCTTGAAGTGTCGCAGGTTGGTTGTTCGGTTGTAATATCTTTATATCCGCTATTTTTGGGTGGCCAACCGGACTAGGGCGGCCTCTCGTCTTTCATCCAATAGTTCAAGGTTCATACTCATGGCCTCACCGTTCGATTCTTCGGTTGCATATCGGAACTTGAGGCTCGGTTCTCCCACTTTGACAGGTATTAATTCTTCGGCACCATAGACCAATGGAAACAGGGTGGCCCCGGTACTAGATTTCGTAGTTGTACGGTATGCCCACAAGACTTCGGGCAGAATTACCTTCCACTTCCCTTTGGCGTCGGTCAACCTCTTTTTTAAATTTTGGAGTATGGTCTTGTTTGTAGATTCTGCTTGTCCGTTCCACTAGGGTGATAGGGTGTGGAGAGTATATTTTTAATATTGTGGTCTTCGAAAACTTATTTACCTTGCTACCGATGAATTACTTTGCATTATCACACACGATCTCGGTCGGTATCCGAATCGGCATATTATGTGATCCCTAATAAAATCAATGGCTTCTTTTTCCCGAACTTTCTCGAATGCTTAAGATTCGATCCACTTAAAGACATAATCGGTCATAAACATTATTAATTGAGCCTTAACAGGTGCCCACGGCAGGGGACCGACAATGTCCATTCCCCATTTCATGAACGGTCATAGGGACACGACCGAATGGAGTAGTCCTCGGGATTGATGGATCATCAGTGCATGTTTTTCACAACCGTCGCATCTTCATACAAAGTCCTTTTCATCTTTCACCATGTCGATCCAATAATAGCCAGCTTTGATTATATTCCGAACCGAAGATTTTGCCCTCGAATGGTTTCCGCAGGTGCCTTCATGAACTTCTCTCAAGACATATTCACTATCTCTCGGCCCCAAGCATATGGCGAGCGGGCCGTCAAATGTTCTTCTGAACAGAGTCCCTTCGGACAGGCTGAACCTGGCTGCTTTCGTGTACAGATCTCTCGATTCTTTAGGATCCGAGGGCAACTTCCCAGTCTTCAAATGGTCTATGTATTTGTTTCTCCAATCCCAAGTTAAACTTGTTGAGTTTATTTTGGCATGGACTTCTTCCACTACCGATTTCATGAGTTGTACGACTGTTCCTGAGCTGAATTCATCGTCATCAGCTAATGACCCCATGTTAGCCAGAGCACCTGCCTTGCTATTTTGATATCGGGGCACGTGCTGTAGGTTCCATTCCTTGAATTGATGCAGCGTTGCCTGCAATTTGTCTAAATACCTTTGCATTCATTCCTGTTTTACTTCGAACGTCCCATTGACTTGATTTAACACAAGGAGGGAATCACACTTAGCTTCGACCACCTCGGCCCCAAGTCTTTTAGCAATTTCGAGACCTGCAATCATGGCCTCATACTCGACCTCGTTGTTAGTCAATTTCACAGTTCTAATAGACTGCCTAACTATGCTACCCGTATGCGACTTCAATAGGATACCGAGTTTGGACCCCTTTGTGTTCGAGGCACCGTCCGTAAAGAGGGTCCAGATTCTCGAGGAAGTCCCCGAGGTTAACAATAATTCTTTTTGACTTCAGATATTAAGGCCGACGTAAAGTAGGCCACGAAGTCTGCCAAAATTTGTGATTTTATGGCAGTTCGGGGTCAATATTCGATAAGTACACACTAATTTCTATGGCCTATTTGGCAAACTGGCCCAAGAGCCCGGGTTTATGCATAATGTTCCTTAGTGGGTAAGAAGTTACGACACATACGGGGTGGCATTAAAAATACGACTTTAACTTTCTGGAGGTGCTTAACAAAGCGAGCACCAATTTTTCCAAATGAGGATACCTTGTTTCGGCCTCGCCTAGAGTTCTACTAACATAGTAAATAGGAATTTGCATACCTTCCTCTTCCCCGACTAGGACTTCACTTACTGCGACCTCGGATACCGCCAAGTAAAGGTACAACTGCTCATCCACCTTCAAAGTATGGAGCAAGAGTGGACTCGAAAGGTGCCGTTGAGTTCTTCCAAAACTTGTGGGCATTTGGGAGTCCAAGAAAAGTTATTCTTCTTGTCCAATAATGAGAAGAACCGATGGCTCTTATCTGAGGACCTCAATATAAACTAGCTCAGGGCAGCTATGCGCGCGTTTAGCCTTTGAACGGCCTTGACACTGTCCATCATGGTGATGTCTTCTATAGCTTTGATTTTATCGGGATTGATCTCAACCCCTCGGTTGGACACAATGAATCCAAGGAATTTTCTGGATCTGACCCCGAATGCGCATTTCTTCGGGTTCAGCTTCATATTGTATCTCTTCAGTATGTATGCAAATGTTTCAAATGGTCCTCTGCTCGCAAGGACTTAACTAACATGTCGTCAATATAAGCTTCTATTGATTTTCCTATTTGTTCTTCGAACATCCGGTTTACTAGGCGTTGATAAGTGACACCACATTCTTTAGTCCGAATGACATTACGTTAAAACAATAGGTGCCGAATTTAGTTATAAAGGAAGTATTTTCTTGATTGCCCAGGTCCATCCGGATTTGGTTGTACCCAGAATAGGCGTCAAGAAAGCTGAGTATCTCGTGCCCGGTCATCGCATCGATCATGCAATCGATCTTAGGAAAAGGAAAAGAGTCTTTAGGGCACGCCTTGTTCATGTCTTTGTAATCTGTGCATATTCTTAATTTATTTCCCTTTTTAGGCATTACCACTTAGCTAACCAATCCGGGTACAGTCAGACCTCTCTATAACAGCATCCCTATACAACAGTCATTCACTATAAAAGCCTAGTTTTTCTTAGATCCGATTTTTTATATTATATTTTACCTCTCTATGACAACATTCTACCTATAACAGCAACAACCGTCTTTATGACAGTAAGCTCTTTGTAAAATTACCCCTCTATAACAACCATGTAAATTTTCTAAGATTATTACTAATAATAAATCTAAATATTTTAATCAAATATTTTATAACTTGAATATACAACTTATTATAGAAATATATATCTTAAGGATAACAGACGTTCCGTGAAAATAAGCACATTATTATTTTGTATTTTTGAAGATCTTCAAATGATATATTTTCATTAGAAAATGCCAAAAATACCTAAAAGATTTATTTATATATTTTGAAGATATGCACATCATTCTTTTTTTATTTGAAGATCTACATATGATATATTCTATATTGTACAAATGCCAATAATATGTAAATGTAATATATTCACATTTTTTTAAGATATGCACATCATAATCTTTTATTTGAAGAGATTTGCACGTGATACTCTTTGGATGTTTATATATTTGAGTGAATTTTAGCGCATAGGTAATAAATTTTGAAGAACTCACTAAAGTTATTCGTGTAGAAAATTCAAACTATTTCTTTAATTTTATTCATGTCATATGGGGTCTAAACGCCAAGCTATTCCTTTGAAAACGAAGATAGCATTGTGCCAATACAAAAAAGATAATTCTACCATCACTCATGAACAATTAAAAGAGAAATTTTCACTTGCTACTTGTCAAACAGTCACCGACATTCTTAGCAAGAAGAATAAGTATATAGAGGCGGCTAAGCAAGCAGAAGTTGTTCAAAGGCATGTAAAAAGCAAGAGATTGCGCGAATGTGAGCATCCAGAGGTATGTATAAAAGAAAAATTATTTAAACTTTTGTTCCTCCAAAAACTAGTTAATTAAGATTAACCAGATCGACAAAGCAGTACAGATTTGGTTAACTCAAGCAAGGGCAAATCATGTCATCTTGACAAATGCAACCATCGTCTCCAAAGCTCTTAATTTTGCAGAATCTATAGGTATTAACACACTGGAGAAAAAAAAATTCTCTGCCTCTAACGAGTGTCTCTTACGGTAAACAACGACATGGGATCAAATCTCATCGTTTTCATGGGTAAGGCTGAAAGCGCACCCATCCAAGATCTTCCTGCTTTCCGCACTAAGCTTCAAGAAGTAATAAAAAATTATGCACTTAAAGATGTCTTCAATTGTGATGAGACCGGCCTTTTCTTTCGTATGGCTCCCAACAAGACTCTTGCTCAAGCGCCAGAGAGCGAATGTAAGAAAGACAGATCCAGAACTACCGTAATGTTAATGTGTAATGCACTTGGTAAGATATATTTTTAGAAATAGATTTAGTTTATTGAAATTTCTTAAAATTTAAATGCTTAATTATTTCAAACTAGTATTGACAGTGTTCATTTATTTCTATGAAATATTTAACTTGATTCTTAGTTGAGTGATTTGCATTAAAAAATTTCTAAATTTAAACTCAAAATTAAATCCAACTTTTATTAACTTATTTTTTTCACTTGTACTCCATTGCAGGGACAGAGAAACTAAAACCTCTAGTAATTGGAACTGTTGCTAAACCTCGTTGTTATAAGAATGTAGATATGGCCTCCCTGCCACACATAAATTATTTTTATAACAAGAAAGCATGGATAACTCGTGAAATTTTCAAAACCTACATGCTTAGATTAAATGCTAAATTTGAAGATGAAAATCGCAAGATTCTATTGTTGAACAATGCTACTCCTCATGACATCGAGGAATACGAAAGTCAATTAACACATATTAAGGTATTTGTTGTAGCCTTGATCATATTTTTTTAATGGTGTTATTGTACTAACATTGAATTATTCAGGTTCATTATCTCCCACCTAATACAACATCACATCTTCAACCTGCTGATGCTGGTACAATTGCAAATTTTAAAGTTAAGTACAAAAGCCGCTTCATCAAGCATTTGATTGATGAATATGAGCGCAATAGGAGACATCCACTATTTAGCGACAATAAGTTCAATATGCGACAAGCTATTAACACTCTAGTAAAAGTTTGGAAAGATGTGAAAGCCTCCACCATTCTCCATTGTTGGAAAAATAATGGAATCCTACCTACACATGACAATCCTAATATTGATTGATAGTGAAAACATTGAACTAGTCGAGGATGTTGGGAATTTATCACCACTTGTAGCTCAAATCCCATCTGATAACATCAAAGAGGCGATTGATGCTACCACATATGTGCAATTTGATGCAATACTTCCGATCATTGACACTTTCACTGATGAAGAAATTACTGCCCAAGTTATTGGAGTGGAAGAAGAAGACACTATGGAGGCAGATGAAAGTGCTGACGAAGAACCTCAACCTACTGCTACTTGGACTGAGATAGAAGATTCAATTATTAAGATCTTAGATTGACTTCAAGGAAAAGCAATTGGATATCCTTTTGCTGAAAGTTTGGATACAAATCTTCGCCGATTCAGGCGTTATAGTGCTAGTAAGAGACTGGAATCTACGAAACAAGCTACAATTATGGAGTTCTTTCATCAATCTTGAAAGATTTAATTATGTGCCTTAGAGTTTAAATGTTTGACGTTTAGATATGAACTTTTTTAATAATGTATTAGATTTCTTTAGAATTTAATTCGTAAAATATTCATATCTTTCGAGATTTTGAATTTAAATATTTTTTACCTTTATATGTAATATTAAAAAAGAAAAAAAAATAATTTTTGGATAATTTTTGTCTATAACAGCCAAAATATATTCAAACACCAAATGTTGTTATAGGTGTATAACAACCACACTATAAAAGCCAAAATATTTTCGAACAAATAATGTTGTTATAGAGAGGTTTGACTGTACTTGACTTCCCAAATGGAACCTATTTTAAGGAGTTTGGATATCTCGTCTCTGATGAATGCATGCTTGACTTCGGACTGAGGCCTCCTCTTCTGTTAATCGGGTGGAACTTTGGGTCCACGCTCAGCTTATGAGTGGTTATTTCTGGCGGGATCACTTTCTTATCAAGATGAGACCAAGCGAAACAATCTATGTTAGCTATAAGAATTTAATGAGTTTTTTCCGGAGCTCGGGAATTAACCGCGTGCCTAGGTATACTTTCCGATTGGGCAAGTGTTCGATCATTATGACTTGCTCTAGCTCCTCGACCGTTGATTTGGTGGCATCGGAATCGTCAGGGGTGATAAACAACCTAGAGACTCAGTAATCATCTTCCTCGCCTACTCCTTACTTCTCCGGTTTGGTCGGGGTCAGCATTGGTGATTGCTCTTTAGTTTCTTCCTAACCGGCTCCGTGTTCTTTGATGTCGAGAGTGCGGATATCGGGATCACCTCATCGACTACAAACATTTCTTTGCGGTCGGCTGCTCTCTATAAACTGTCTTGATTCCTCCCGATATGGGGAACTTCAGTGCCAGGTGTAGTGCCGAGGGTACTGCCCTCATGTTGTGAACCCATAGTCTTCTGAATAGAGCATTATATCTCATATCCCCTTCAGTCGCATAGAATTTTATTTCCTGAATGGTCCCGATGGTGTTCATCGGTAGGGTTATCTCCCCTTTAATAGTTTCGCATGCCATGTTGAATCCATTTAAAACCCGGACTGCCGGCAATATTTGGTCTTATAGACCCAACTGCTCTACGACCCTCGATCTGATGATATTGGACGAGCTACCTAGATCAATCAACACACGCTTAAATCGAGATTTATTTATAAGTATAGATATTACTAGTGCATCACTATGCAGTTGCATGATGCCTTCGGCATCCTCGTTGTTGAACGAAATGGTTCTGTCACGACCCAAACCGATGGGCCGCGACGGGCACCGGTACCTTACTCAACTGAGCACCAACGTAACGTATCTTTCGTATCATTCTATCATAGGTAAATTAACCGAAGTAAAGCGTGGGGGAATACAAACTTATACATATGACATACTGGCCTACAAGACCAAAAATGATCACTCGTACACTGAACATAAGCCGAGAAGGCCATACAATCTTTCACATACACGACATATGTCTACAAGCCTCTAAGAGTACATAAATGTCATAAAGGTCGGGACAGGGCCCCGCCATACTAATCAATACATGTCCTAATCATACTGACCAAATAAGCAACTTCGGAGCAAATGAAGCGCACCAACACCTTCCGCTGAGCTGATAGCCTACTTGAGGGCTCTCATCCTGTCTATCGGGACCTGCGGGCATGAAACACAGCGTCCCCAGGCAAAAGGGACGTCAGTACAAATAATGTGCCGAGTATGTAAGGAATGAAAATCAGTAAACAATAGACATGAGAGAAACATGGAGTAAAAGATTCAACACGTATATTTGAATAGCTCTGTGAATCATTCAATATTATAATGTCATGAACATGCGTATAAATATCATACCATGCATATGTGTATGCGTTCATAACATCATGAAGCCTCTTAGGGCATCCTATCATATCATCTCGGCCACTGTGAGCAAATCATCAACGTACACCAGCTAATCAACTGGTGGTGCGTATATAACGCTGTAACCTTTTCCCATATCCCATATATATATATATATATATATATATATATATATATATATATATATATATATATATATATATATATATATATATATATATATATATATATAATGCCATTTGGTCATGGGTCAATATAAATGAATGCAATGCATGAAAAGTACGTCAATAAAATCTCTCAGAATGTCATAGGACCATTATGCCTTTGATTAGTATCATGAAGGCAAAATACATAAGTTGACACTTGAACTATGGGCCAAATCCCTGTTACACACTTTTTTTAGGCGAAAATAATATTACACACTTAACCTTTTTAAAGTGTGTCTAATATATACCTTCTTTGACCAGGACCCAACATGTGTAAAACACCAAGACAGAAGCGCGTCTATCAGATAAAAATATTATCTAAATACTTGTTTATGCCACGTGTCAGCAAATCCCTCATCTTCCCCACACTTCTCTGTCTCTCTCTTCGTTTGTTTCGCCAGCTAAACTCCCCCTCCATACCATGTTCAAGAATCTTATTTTTTCCTCCATCCCTCCCTATCTTCACCACATATACTCGCCATTTCTAATATCAATTTTTGGCCTTTCTACGGACCATCTTCAATTACTTCGTAAATTTGAATTTATTAACCCATTAGTTACTATCTAACAGTTAAAGTAAATATGGAACTAATATCATACATTTTACCAAATTGATCAAGAACATCAACAACCCAGTTGTCACTTTTCTATTTTTTCTTCCATTCCTTGTGATCTTATCCTGCAAATTCATCAATGTCGGTGCTGCTATCTTCGTTTCCTGTGATTTCTTTTTGTGTAGTATCTAAAATCTAGGAAGAGGGATGTGCAAGCATGAAAAAGTGAAAATTAAAATTTTGGATATTTAGGTGAAAGGAGCAGGAAGATATCAAGGGATATAAGGAGGAAGAAATTGTTAAAATTAAAAATCAAATCACCAATTTATTTAATTTATTTGTGATATGCAATTTAGTGAGCCATGACTTATTAGCTTTTGATGCCTTTTATTTCTTTCTCGAATTAAATCACTTGGGCTCTTAATTTTTGGATTGAATTGTGTGTGCTCATTTTTCTGGTGGTCCATGGAGGACGAGATGGAGGAGAAAGAGATAGGGTTGAAGAAGACGAGGGTATGTGTGTAATTTTAGATATTTTTTTAAGCTAATGACACGTGTCATGGCCTTATTGGTGCGTGACATTACCCATATTTTGGTAAAGTGATCAAGAAAAAAATGGTGTGTATTAGACACACTTTTAAAAGTTTAAGTGTGTAATATTATTTTTGCCCACAGAAAGTGTGTAATAGGGATTTGACCCGTAATTCAAGTGCCAACTTATGTATTTTGCCTATCATGAAATAAACTTTATCAACTTACGTATTTTCTGAGACCCATGAACAGTTGATAGAATAATATGACACATGGGGAATCAAGAACATAAGCATCTCTAGTATTTCTATGAATTGAGTCATGTATGAAAATTGTGCATTTGCTCGTTTCGTTTGTGTAGTATAGATCATACCAAAAGAAAGAAGGGATAGCCTTAACATACCTGAGCCGATTCTCTTGACAATATCTCTAACATACATCAATTGCGACACCACGTAACGGCGGATAGAAGTAAGCGAAAATCCGTATGATATTCTTGAAAAAGATTGTGCCGTACTCCCTTAGAATCGAAAAATCCCGTTACTACTACGCAATATAGTTTCGGATGAATTTTTTTTGCTTAAGATCGTTACTTTGCTTTGCTGCTCAAGAAATTCTCAAGCATCATCCCCTTTTCAATTAAATGAGTTCTACTAATATTCTAGTAGTAGTAGTAGAGAAAAGGAACTAGTTTCACTTTGTCTTCAAAAACGACATGAGTACGTGGAAACTTTTGATCACACAAGGCGTTACACTTTAAATCAAATGTGTTCACAAGCCTCCAGCTAGCTAATCATAAGAGAACCCCTTCTTTAGGTGTATCCACGCCCACTTAGTAAGTAATGATTAGTCATTCTAGCTACTTATACGTTGATTAATGCCCAGTGAATTAAGAATTATCTCAAATTATTCAAAATATTTCTCACTTTTAACACACTTTCTATACCCTACTATCATGGTCATGTGGTACCTTTTATGGCACAAATCCGTAAATATCGGGTATTATAACTTAGACCGTATTTTTTCCCAAAATGTCAAATTTTGACGAAATTTATTTTCTTCGATTTGCTTACCCTCTCACCTTCACGAATTTACACATCACTTGTTTGAAATAGCATAGTGCTTATAATCTCAAAATAATCTCATTCCCGAACTTACATCGATTAACTTACAATGAAACTTTAACGTATGAAAATGCGGGATGTAACATCTCATTTTCCGAGCTTCTATAAATTTACTTATGGCGTACTTTCACGTACGAAAATATGGGGTGTAACAGGTTCCATCCGGGATATAATCTCAAGTTCGTTTTCCCTTTTGATGGACACCTTAGTGCGCTTTAGCATTGGTCCCTGGGGGACGTCGACTCTACCAATGATCATGTTTGTCGATCTGTTTGTTGGAGTCCCTATTCCTAAAGTGATTTTTGGCTCGATCACTCAGAAGTTCTCGGAAATACCCGTTATGGAATAACTGGGCCACTTATTCTCTTAACTATTGGCAGTCCTCGGTTCTATGGCCATGAGTTCCATGATACATACATATCAAGTTAGGGTTTCTCTCGGTAGGGTCGGACTGCAATGGCCGATGCCACTTTGTATCTTTGATGCGCTCTATGGGAGATACGATGCTGGCACCATCGACATTGAAGTTATATTCCGATAACCTTCGTGCCTCACTAGCCTCGAGTGGCCTGTCGAAACC